AATCATCATAATGGTAACAATAATAAAATGTATCATATAAATGTTTTGCTTGAAATATATATAAAAAACATAATTCCTATGTAACACATACGACAAAATATATGATGAAGATGATTGAAAAAATATTGTCACACATATACACACACACACATATATATATAATGTACGATATGAGCAAGCAAGTAATCATCATCATCATCAATGATGAAATCAGGCAAAAAACGAAGAAATATGGTTATGGGTTAGACATCTGTAATAGTAGCTATGTTTAAATCGACACACATAAACACAATGACATGAATTCTCTGACTGTTGGCAAAAAAAAATTCTATAAACCTGTATCATAATTTTTTTCCTTTGATTTTAGAAATATTAAAGAAACCATTAAATCACTCACACTAAAATGTAGTATAATGTGATTGGAAAAAAAAGTTTCAAGAAAACATATATTTGGAATCAATATAAGGTCACATACTTTTTTTGTTTGATTGAAAATCGACTAGTTGATCCAAGTGTTTAGATGAATGAAACACATATACACACAAATCAAATCAAAAGAGCAAATACAATTGTTTTTTTTTTGCCTGCTGCTCCATAATAGTTAATGAATATAAGTATATGGCCTCTTTTGATGTTATAAGTAGCGATAGAATAAAAACGATTTTAACAGTTGAAAAATTTGTTCTCAAATCAAAGATAGAGTTATAGACTTTAAAGTGGCTTCGACTGGCCTTTTCTTTTCAAATTCTTTACTGTTTCTTTATATCTCAATCTTTTTCTTGCCATCATCATCATTTTAAATAAATCAATTTAAATTCATTTCACAATTTTTTTTTCAACATGTTTCAAACAAAAAACTATTGTTCATTGCGTTTTTTGCGTTGAATTAGAAATCAATTCATTATGATTCAACTAGGCAGCAAGAAAAATGGCTCCATCGGGAATCAATCGTTGATAGTACAAATAGAGAAAAAATGAGAAATTTTAATGAGAAATGTAGAATCTTTTTAGATGATTATAACGTAAAGAAAATTTCTAACACAACAGATTTTATCAGTTCTTTTGTATGTATGTGTTTATAAACGCTTGATCGCTTTTACCAAAAAAATAGTTGCAAAATAAATAGTATGAAAATGGGAAAATTTAATCGAAAAAAATATTCAGAATAAAGATTCTAATTTGATTATAGAATTGATTGCTACATCCGGATGTTACAATGAAAAAAAAATCGATCAACCAAATATTTAATCATATGTTGAAAAATGGCTAAACTGATTGACTAAAAAAATGTTAAGCATCCACGTGAAAGATAAATTATGATAAGAAAAAAAAAGAATTCATATTCACGTGCAAATAATCGAAATAATGAATAAAAAAGTTCAAAGCTTTCTATCGATCAAATCCATGATCTAAATTAAGATAATGGAAATAAGATGTTTACACGTAACTTGAACATCAATGATAATCCAACACACTAAACAATGTTATTATGATCAGGACAGCTGCTACTTGATTTTGAAAAGGATTGCCAAAACCAAAATTACCACCTAATGATAATGATGACACATTTGTACATCTCTCTGGTTATTCATAACATGTAAAATGATTCGAAAACACACACGCACACACATATTGAACACGATCAAACCTCACGTGAATGAAAAGAAGACAAGATACTAAAACCAAAAAATAATCATAAAGTAATAATAACAGCAAAATCTACAACAGGATCCAAGATTATTTTTTTCTTTTTTTGCCAGATAGGATATGAATAGCAACATTGATAGGCTAAAAAGTATTTTGTATCATAAATCATTGTCGATACCAATGGATGATACATACACATAAATAACAGACAGAAAATTGTTCAACAACAATGTATGTATGAATGAAATGAATTCATGGCCAACATTGGCGAGTGAACAACAACAATCCGAATATAACGAGAACAACGTTTTTTTTTTTTTGTGGATTCCAAGTTTCAGAGTATAGTCTACCCTATCAATAATGATCACTGAATTGTATCATATCCCACATAACATTCATTCATTCATCCATATAGATGAATGAAAGATGAATTCTTTTTCTTGTTTTGATTATTATTTGGCTACTTCTTGAATTCAAATGGAACAAAAAAAAAGTATGATATGGATAGAATAAAAAGCAAAAAAGCCATCATCATTGATAATAATGGAATCACACACACACAGACACACAGACAAATCACACATTGGACATCAATAGGCTATTCTATTGTTAGATATTATATAAAATATATCTATAGGATCAAAATGGAATGATGGAGAAAGAGAGAAAAAAAAGTAATGAAGAATAAAATCTACAGTCACAGTAGCAGTAGCATGATTTCTAACTTTGCATGGAATGGATTCAGTATTGATTGTGTTACAGTATTTTGACCACCATAAACAAAACAATTGTTTTTCACGTTTTCTTCCTCTCATCGCATGATGGTGATGGTGGTCTAATCAAACATTCACAACTATTGTTTTATTTATTTGGTATTATCAACTGAATCACAACGATAATAGAGTCTTAATGTTTTTTCACCGAACAATATGAATCATATTTTTCCCGGTGATCAGTGTCTGCACAGGAAAAAATATGATTATTATTCGTGAATGATACCCATTTTAATTTTTTTCATAGCACCGTTTGATTGATGTCCATCAATCTAATACGGTGATAAACAAAATGATCATCATTATTTAATAATCAGATATAAAATTCTTTCACTTTCCACTATTATTATCATACTTTTAATGAAATGCAAATAGCAATCATATTTATATTCAGTTTAATTACCGCATTTTCGATCATTGGCCTCTTTGATTGACCCTATGATCCAAATTGATGAAAAAAAAAAACTTGCATTGTCAACAATACATTTATGAAAAATAACCTCACGAAATCTTCATGTGATAAAAAGTTGTTTTTCATAATAATTATTTATCACACACATACACACATATGGAAAATATTGAAATACAAGAACAGAGAAAAAACCATCAACAAAATAAACTAGAATACTATTAGATAACTAAGGGAAACTATGAATATATTATATGGTGGAAACAAAAATAGAATTGCATTGAAAATAAATGAACAACATAGACATTGTTGATGGTGAAATAAAAATATACACAACATGGATAGGATACACCAGTAGACGCAAAATATATTTTACAATAATCCACCATCCGATAACAACAACAACAAAAAAAAAATCAAGAATTCAAATCACATTTTTAAACAATATCATTTATGCATAGAAAAAAAATATGGAGGTAGCGAATGACAAATGAATTTTGCTATTATTATCACTGTATACATGACCATTTCAAATGTGGGAAAAAAATATTGTATACAGCAGGAACCAGAATGTATTATGATTATCATCATCGATATCATAGTAATAATAAAACGTGCATACATAAATATGACGACATTTACCCAAGTTGAACAAAAACAAAGCGAATGATATTGCGAACAATTTTTGATCTAAACAAGTGGATGACTATTTTCTATCAACAAATAAACATAAATGTTTATTTTTTTGTGATCCGGAATATTTGGGGGACGAAAGTGTAATGAGCTAAGAAAAAAACGCAACGATTTTAAGAAATTTGAAAAATTTCAATTCATTTATATCAGTCAAATGTTTGGTTGGTTTTTCTTTCACTAATGATTCAGTTTGATTTTCATTTTTTTTTCACGCTCATTTTATTCCATTTCTTATCGAATGAAAATTTCCGCTACTCAATTTTCAAATATACAGAATCAAGAAAATAAACACACAACAGAAAAAAAATGATTTAGTTGAATTGAATTATGAAAAAAAAAAATAATGTCACCATTACTATATTAAGAAGATTATAATTTTAGTGATGATTCGTTCTTCAAATGGTTGAGATGCCATTGCTTCATAATAAATAAAATTTTATATAATGATAATAACAATGTAATGTAATGGAATGGAATGGAATGGCTATAATGTTGACAAATAAAATATAAAAAAAAAATTGAAAATGAAAATCGTTTATCCAAGACGACTTCAGAGATGATGATGTAGATGATGACAAACGTTCCACTTGTCAAATGGTAAAATTTTTGTCCAACAAGAATGCATCGTTTTGTAAAATTTGGTTGATATGGACAAAAAAATTTTTTTTTATTGAAACGACCACAAAAAATAAACAGCAGAAAGCAAATAATAATTCAGAGGCTTAATTATCACACATCGAGAATGTGATGATGATGATGATGACAAATTTAAATCAATAAATAGACTGACAATGACAATTTAGTTGAATAAAAATGGTTTTTTTTCAATTCAATATTCTAGACCAGATGAATTATTCATTGCAAAAAGAAAAAACAAGCAATGCTTTTTTTCGCTTGATTTTTGCAACATAAATTCCCTTCTGGGACAAAGTTAAGTGCTGTATATGTATCGTAAAATTTTTGTACCGCAACAAAAATCAACTATCGGCAAGAATGTTTAATGTTTTTTTTCATTGTTGATACAAATTTTTCAACAACAATCTCCGATGATGATGAAGTTGACAAATAGACGTCAATAAATAACAAAAACATTCAAGACAATGAAGAATTTCAATTCACTGCCATAAAATGAATTTGTTCCGAAAAAAATTCATCACATGTAAACAACAATTTTTACTATTCAGAAATTTTGCGAAAAATTTATAACAAATTCATGTTTTTTCTGCTTCAACACAACAACCAGACTATTAGATAGTCACGAAATAACCATATAAACTACCAATAAATTGAAGCAAAGTTAAATAAATGAATGTCTGAAAATTGTATCAAGAGCTTAAACAACGAAATTTGTTCATGCAAGAATCATCTAGATTCTGGAATATTCTTTGTTTCTGTGTTCATTTACACATCATAGTAAGACGGTGGTTGTTGTATAAGATTATGATAAAAACGGTAAAAAACAAATTTTTTTTACTTACTCAGCATTTTGATGACAGCTCTTCGTTGTGCTAACGAATTACTACTGGATGTTGATGAATTAGATATTGTGCTTGAAGACTTGAATTTAGCAATTTTTTGTCGTCGTAATGATTTATTTGGCTGTCCAATCGTTGTCGGTGTAATCACTAGCGGTGATGATGGTGTTGATGATGATAAGAATGATTGTTGTACATGACTATAACATTTAATGACCTCTGACCCTTTTGTTGTTTCATCGCCAGCATTTGGTTGATTCGAAGATGATGATGACATTGATTCATTCATGTCTTTGATTAATGGCATCGGTCTACATTTACCCTGTTTGAATTTGTTGGAATTTTTCTTACATTCTTTTGCTTGCTCTTTGTTGGATGATTGATCAATTTCGATTGAAATGTTGTCCGCTGTTGTGGTGGCGGTGGCGGCATCAGCAGCTGATGCTAAATGAATGAATCGTTTACTAAGACTTACTGCACGCAAACGTTTTATTGGACGACGACGTAAACGGGCCATATCGGGATTTGCATTTTTTGAGCTCTGTCTCAGTTTAATTCCAATCAATATGTACAAAACAGTGATCCATGTGACAGGAAGAACGAACACAATCAACGAAGATAAGGCAAAAATGTGTTCCTCTAGATATGGAACTGGTCGTTTTATATTACACGCAGCCGATTGTTGTATTGGTATTTGGCCATTTAAATAATCAAAAACGATGCCAAATTGATAGGCAATCGGAGCGGCACATAAAAATCCAAGCATCCATATAATGACAATCAATTTGATTGCACGTGAAAGTTTAGACATTGTATGTGCACGTAATGGATGACATATGGCAATATAACGTTCCATTGTGAATGCTGTTATGGTCAATACAGATGAATTTGTAGATGCTTCGGAGGAAAAACCTCTCAGTATACAAAACGCTTCACCGAATACGTATGGATAACGATACCAGATTTGATAGATTTCCTGGGGTAATCCTAGAACCAATAACAAAAGATCAGAAATGGCCAATGAAAATAGATAATAATTTGTAGCCGTATGCATATAACGATTTCGTGCGATCACCACACAGGTTAGGACATTTCCTATCACACCGGTGACCAATATCAACACATATAGAATTGTCATCGGTATTGTGGTCCAAAGTGGATCGGCAACCAGATCCGGATCCCAGATTGGTTCGGTTGTTGGCGGCGTAGAGGCCATGGACACCGCAACATCTTGATTATTATTATTATCATAAATCAATTGTTTGACAACAGTGGATGAAGATGACACTATCGATGAATAATTCAATGTAGATGGAAAAACTGTTGTTATGAAATTGTTATTGAATAGTGGGCCATCGGATTGTGTTTCCATATCACGTACAATTTGATCCAATATAATCCGTTCAGTCGATATTGCTGATGATGGTGATGATGATGATGATACATTTTGTTGTTGTTGTTGTTCATTATGATTATATTTAATGTGATCGATTGATTGACCTATGATGGGCAGATAATTCACATGTGATTGATATGAATTCAATCGATCGATAAAGAACTGTAAAAAAATATTGTTTGCTGTATCATTGGATGAATCGTGATTCATTTCGTGGTACGAATAAAACAAAAAACAATGGATGATGACTAGCCAACCAATTCGAATTGTCGATTATGGCCAGTCTTTGTTTTCCATCAAATTTTCTTCGTAAAACCCATTACACTAGTTCACATTATATTCGAGTGATGATAACTGGTGGTAAAAAAATCATTCAAATGTGAAATCGATATTTTATATTCCAAAAGCAGTTTGAACACGAATTTCATTGTCGGTTACGGCTGTTGTCGATACGGTTGTTGAATGAAAAATGTCCAACAACAACATCCAGATGCAGAATATATTTATATTGGCCCGCCAAGTCTCGTTTAAGCGCGCATCGTCAAACATGAATGGAGCAAGCGCAAAATTCTTCATCTCTAATTAGCTTAGAAATGTCAAATCATTTTGAGTAGAGAATGAATCAAATTTTAGCTCTCAAACGATGCTAAAAAGCGAAACTTTGTGGCGTGATTGTTCGGTAAAAATAATGCACACATATATTTGGGGCCTGTCATAATCGACGTTCATTTGAAAATTCAATTTTCAATCAAACAAATGGATCCAAGTCATGAATACAGAAAGAATTTTTTTCACTTTTTTTTTGTTACAGAGCTAATCATAATAACAGTTTAATCCATGTGGCAAAAAAAGCTATCTAATTTTAAATGATTTGCAGACATTCATTAAATGTTCTCAAAATTCGTATTATTATTATTATTATGTATCATTTTCAATTTGCCAAATGAATTCCCTTCAACAACAACAACAACAACAAAACGAATATGGCCAAATTTACATTTTTATAATGGTTACGAAGAAAATAAATGAAAACAAAATTTTCCGGATAATCATCGGTTGTCGTATGGTGGCTTCCAATCAATTACAATGTCAGATATGATATCAAAACAAACTAATGAAACAAATCTTGGTTATTTAAACTCTTTTTTCTTTCTTTTTGCCTTCTAGGCGGGAAGCAATTTATCGATTGAGAAAATTATTTCATAAAAAATCACGTCATTAATAATTTGAATCCATGGCTGACAATTAACCTATGCAATTATGCTCAAGACTGCTGTATAACAATAAAAAAAAATTCTTCTGGATAACTGGCAAGAAAGAGGTGAAGCAAAAAGAAAAAGTTCCTAGCCATTGTTTAATTGGCAAGCCATATATATTTGGTGCTAATTGGAATCGAAATGAAAGAACTTAACCTAAAGTTAACTATAGAGCGGCCAGAAAAAAAAACAACGAACAATGTTCATTATGGAAAAAAATCTGGTCTAGAAAATTAATACTCATCTACTATTCAAGTATGTAGTACCCGGAATTCTGGACCCACAAACCAAAAACTAACCTCACAAAAAATATCCTTGAACAATTAGGAATCAATTTTCCACTTTTGTATCGGAAGCAGCAAAAAAATTTGCGTGTTGCAAACAACAGCAATTAATGTCATGTCGCCAAGTCCATTGTTGCGATGATGATGATGATGATAGTGACTATAATTTGCAGAGAATGACAACCAGTAGTTTGCCAAGAACGAAAAAACAACAACTGTTTACACTAATGTTTCTGAAATTGAAATTCGAAGAAAAATAACCAATCAACCAAAAAAAAGCAACAACAAAAAAAAATTCGGTAAGAAACATAAGCTGTTTCTGGCTATAATAGTCAATAATAATTTTCAATTTGTTTTGATCCAGAGTATTTTTTCTTCCATCATTTACGATATATTATTATTATTATTATGGCCATAAGACACCAATGAGGACATATGTTCCGGGACAGAATCTAAATTTGGATTCCCGTTGGATTTTTTTTCTCGATTTCCGTTGTTGTTCAAATTTGTAATTCTAAACAACCCAAACAATATTTTGTTGTTGATCTGTTCTGTTATACATTGAAATTCCAGAAAAACATTATCATTGAATTGCAAATCGATTGTTGTTGATAATCAATCAATCAATCAACATAAACAATGCTGTGATATAATTTCGCAATTTTTTTCCTATCGTGACGATGTAAAAAATAATGATAATTTTTTTTATCATAAACATTTTCTTTCACATGGAGAACTGAATTGACAAATTCTGTGTTTGGAGAAAAAACTTTATTAAATATGTGATGTCCTAGAATGAACATCGTTAAACTTTCGATTTCCTCTTGCCTAAAAACATTCTTTTGGCAGGAAAAGCAGCACGGAAAAAACGTGGCCATTTGGTGTGTTTGTTCCAAGGTAAATTAACTTGGAATCAGTTGCGACCTATTGCTGCACCAGTTCATACACTCCACACAGCTATACATTTTGAATATATTGAATCATTTTTGATAATAATCCACTCAAATAACCGGAAAAAATTCTATGAATATCGGAATAATAATAATGACGATAATGACGACGTGCGATCACGTTTGAAAAAACATTATCAACAGTAATCATTGGATTTCTTGATCGACATTACATTAAATGTAGCAAAATGTTCACAGTTTCCAACGATATTTCAATCGATTTGGAACTAACTTATTAACTAACTGCAAGCATAAATGACTAAGATCATCATTTGGGAATATTCAAACAAAAAAAAAGACATTTTGAATATAACCAAATTTATATGTGATGTTAAGAAACCAAGAGAAAATTTTGGCCATATTGAATATTCTTTCGTTGTGAAAAAATAACAAAAAAAACAAAGCCAAAGTAAAAATTCACGATAAGCGATCATCCATAATGATAAAGGCATCATTATGGTAGCAACAACAACAAAAATTGGTAAATCAAGTTAGCCAAAATTCTTTTCTTCTTACCAAAGTTTCAAGGAAAAACAATAAAAAAAAAATTCATATAAATATCCCGAGATGATACCGGAGATGATCATGATGGTCGCGAAATGATTCATTCAATCAATCAATCAAGGATCATGCGTAATCATCGCTTTTTTAAGAACTATGAATGAATGATGATTTTTTTTTCGTACAACGAACAACATTCTTCTGTGTCCTATCATCAAAATAAAGACATTATTGAATGAATGATGAATGTATGCCTTGTTATCATATTCATCATTATTATTGTATTATGATGCCCCAAATTGAAAAACGGAAAATTTATTAATATTTTCTCTGATAGTGATCAGGAATAAAAGGCCATGATCAATTCTCATCATCAATTTTTCGTTGAGAATAGAAAAAAATAACAAAACAAATTCATTCACAGAAAGATGAAAGCAGATCTGTTCAATATTAAAGTAAATTGATGATGTAATTCTATGATCGATGTGATGACGTTTTCTGATGTGACTATTTCCGTTTCTATATATCTCTCACTAATGATAATGACATGTCATCATCATTTGATGAATTCGGTCATCATCATTATCATCTCATATTACGTTCACGGAAAAAAAAACTTTTTTTCCTATGCATAACTACCAAAGCAGCAAACATATTTTATTTTTGATATTCACAAAAATCTTTTCAGTTTGATAAAGAAAAGTTCATTTAAACTCGAATCAAGTACAATTGCAATTTAGTCGATCATTATTCGAATCATATAATTATTGAATAATTGCAAGTGAGAAAACACAACACAACACAATAGAAAACAATTTCTTTTCTTTCTTTTCTTTTCTTTTCTTCTTGGTTGAAAATAATTATACCGTAAATATGATGTTCAAATTTCTCTGTTCTGGCTTTCTGTAATGGATTGGTTATCTTCCATTAATGGAAAAATCGATAACAATATATGTATGATAGTATTCATACGAGGTAAACATCTTGACTATGAGAAAATAATGATAACTTTAACGAATAACAAAAATTGTTTTATTTAATCGTCCAAATTGTACATGAAATTCAGCTTCAACAAAAAAAATCATTTTTCATACTTTGTGTATGCACACGAAAAGTTTGTCTATAGTAAAAAAGAAAGTTCGATGATCATGGAAAGGAACGAGAGAAAAAAAATGGATCGATTTTGATATTGGTTCATTCATTCAATAGATAATAGATACCGTATCATGTTAGATTTTCACGAACTTGCTTGATGTTTTTTATGGTTTCCATTTTCAATAAATATTGCACATTTTAAAGTAGCATGATTAATCTGTTTTTTTCAAATAGAAAAAACAGATCAAATTTTTCTAAAAAACATTACTTGATTCAATCTAACCTTCAAATCCCGCATGTCTATAGGGCAGAAAACAAAAGTAAAAAATGTCATCAAAAAGAAAAAAAAATCACGCCGATATACCATGAATGAATAAGGAAAAAGTGATAAAAAACGGAGATTTCTCTTGAGAGATATTTTATTGAAAATTGGCTACATCATTCAATCAACAAGCATTGTTTTGTTCATTTAGCCCAAAGGAAAAGAAAAAATTTTCCAGAAAATACCACAAAAATTTTGTCTCAAAATCTATTATTGATCGGCAGCAGTTGCTGTTTTTTTTTCATTTGCCTGTGTGTCTTGAATGTTTGAATGTGTTAATTTGACATATGATGGTAACATGTTTTTTGTTTGTTTCATTCTGGTGAAAATTGTATACTATTAGTGATCGATCAATATCTTGTAAGTTGTTTCATAAATTAATTAAGCAACGAAATAAAATAAAACAAAACAAAATAAAAAAAGATTTTCTCTTTCACACTTATTCCAGATGAGTCTATAATAACGAAAAATATAACAATCAACCAATGAATCGATTAATGTTTCCGTGTCGAATGTAAAATAAAATTACTTTGATATCGATTGATTATTGACATGATCGATATGGGGGGTGAAGAAAAAACCTATCGATAATGGGGAGGAATGATTCCAAGAAATCATTGATCTCAAACAAAAGTCAAGAAATGCCATTTCTACTCAACAGTAAATTATGAAGAAATGAAACAAACAATAATGTTTTTTGCAATTAAATTCAGTATGAAGAAAATAAATTCAAGAATTTAGTAAAACAATAATGAAGAAAGGAAACAAATTTAAAATCATTATTCAATGCAATTGATTTGATTTGAATTCGAAAATCGCCAAATGATGGTGACCAGAAAACCAAGTGCAATAACCATCTATTACACAGCATCACAGGAAGAGACTTTTGTTGAGAATCTAAAGAAAAAGTCGACATTAGTACACGGTTGTTTGCTATTATTATTCGGTATCACTCATGTCTATACAATCTGGTTCAGTTGGAACAAGAATCGTTCGATCATATTGGATTATCTTTATCTGACACATTGGAATCTAACATTTCATGTATTCTTTCTGGCTATCGAATTACTAAGCGATCTTTCATTATCATTCGATGAAATGACCATTATATTTCGTAATAAATTTCTACATTCAATTCTCATACCATCATCTATTGTAAGTAATGTGATGAAATTTAATTTAACAATGATAAATTTACACTTTGAATGATTTTTTGTTCTTTTATTGACTTGGATTGGATCGGGAAAAAATAAAAATAAATAAAATCGAATAAAATCGCACATTATTAACACAGTGTGTTTCCATTGGTTTTTGGGCAATATGCATAATTTTTGATGAAAATCTTATTCGTGGTCCACCCGAAGAACGATGGCCTGAATGGCATAATCAAATATCGGTAATGATTGCTTGTAATATTTTGGTTAACAATTAATGAGTATTTTGTTCAACATAATAATATACAGCACACGGCAATCTTACCGGCCATATTGATTGAATGTATGATAGTGGAACATCAATTACCCAAGTGGTTTCCTTCGTTGATGATTACAATTGTGATTGGTTCAACATATATGTTCTGGGTAATATTTGTTGGTGTTGTATTTCAAAAACATGCATATGAATTGATACAAAATGCATCAGCAACAAAATTGGCATCACTATTCCTCTTGTTGACGATTTTGCTAATTATTGCCAACATCATTGGCCGCTGGTTGCATATTAAATATTGGCGGCGGATGCGACGACGTAAAATGATCAATAAATGACAGTTATTTTCATTATAAAATGTAATTAATTCAGATTTGGTTCCTGAAAATTTTGTTGATGTGATTGCAGTTCATGTCGTATGATCAATTCATTTGTTATGAATGCATGTTGTCGTTTGCGTAGACGTAGCGATCCCGGTTCATCAGGAATGACCACTTTTAAGAATGAATTTATGGCCGTCACTACATTCTGAAAGACGATGACAAAAACAATTTTCGCGATGATTACATACCAATGTTGTTCACTGTAACTACCATCATTTTCTCGATAACCATAATAGCTAAGAAAAAATTCAATGAAAATAGATGAAAAAAAATTGATGGGCTCCTACTACAAAACATGTGAAACCGAAACTTACAAACAATTTTTAATGTCAGAATCGGGAACTTCATCATCTGAATTGATGACATAATTCGATAATGTTGATGCATAGAAATTCTTTAGATTTCCATTCGTATAATAGTACATCATACGGGGTATAATATCCGTGTTGAAAGCAATGATGACGGCATTGGTGAATACGGATAATTTACCCAATGCATCCAATATTGTATACCAGACACCAATATCTTTTACCCTATATCGTATATATTCAGTTAATGTAATAATGAATGGATCGCGGCACAGTACCAAGCAGTGAAAATGGCAACAACAACAAAAAAACCATAGCCACAATGGAATCACATAACATAAAGAAAAAAGAAAAAAAAATTAATGAGAAAATGCGTTAAAGCTAAATGATAATATCCTTTTTTTTCTTTTGCTTTCGTCTGAACAAATGATCAAATGACAATACTCACTCCCTCTCTCTCTCTCTTTTTACCTTTGAGCTACTGGACGTTTATAATTTTTCAACATTTTACGGGCATCGAAACGTATTTCGAAAATGTTATTTAAAAGTGCAAAAAATGGTGCCAACGGGAATGCACTGACAAATAGCGTTATAAAGCCAAATTGTAATACTAATTCAAGATATTCGTAGAACAAGACTGAATGATCCCAAGATTCGAGCAAATAGTCTTCCTCATATTGTTCCAGTTTATGGCTTGGATTATTTGATGATTTGGATTTTTTTTCACCGGAAAAATATACATAACGATTGTAAACACCATATAGATAGGGTATTAGATATTCGAGCATAGAACTAAAGAGGTTTTTTCCCAATAAAATAATGACTAGCTGTATCGTTAGATCGAAATAACAGCCACCGATCGGACATGGTTCGATGAGTTTGTTAATCTTGTCTGTTTGTAGGCTACCATCCGGTGGAGTTTTGGCCAATGTTCCCTTGAAAAATGCTATGTAGAATAATGATGAATAATAGTTGACAAACTCAAAAAGATACATTTTCAATGTGAGTGAATTATCGAATTCATTCTGTGTTCGTGGTAATTCCATCTCGGTTAGCCATTTAGCAAGACGTTTATAAACTATGCTTAAAATCATAATCAAAATCAAGTTTATTGTTGCAGCCGTTGATGTTACAATCCATTCGATATTTTGTCGCAAAAATTCTGATTCATATTGATGTTGAGTGCTTAGAGCAATATAGGTGGAAACACGATAAACAATAATCGATACCATAATCAACAATACGACCGCAACACTTAACAAGACAAATGAAAATGACATGATGAAATATGGTAATCGCCCACGAACAAACGATATATACGGTTCTTCCACACGTGTCACTGGATTTATTCGAGTTTTTGTCGATTTTTGTTTAGATAAATATGCCTATATAGAATGAATAAGAATTAGATCGAAAACTGAACTGAAAATAATCAACTTCAACTTACCATATATTCTGTTCTCGGCGGCTCATCAATAGTGCTGAAATCGGATAAATCCCATTGGAAACAAATTTTTGATGAATATCTTTTCCACATTTCCAGATAGATGGTCGACCATATCGAAATGAATATGGCAAATATGACAGTTGTAAAATTACCCATTAAATACGACGCTTTAGCCGGCATACAACTTTCGGATATATCAACGAAATCACAGTTTTTGGCACAAATCGGACACATTGGTGCAGTGAAATTTTTATGACATACATCGTTGGTTGGTTGATCACTGGACAATGTTAATATACCATAGAAGAATGTTAACAAACCAATTCCAACGGCCGGTATCAACATTAACGTATAGAAACCAACCCAAGCATAATACATGGCAATTTTTACTCCAAAATAATCGACGATTTTGTCCACTTGTTGGTGTTTAAGAATACAGAATAACGATGCCCAATTTGCTAATAAATAACAGCGGATAGAACGACAATCGTTTTGGTTTTCACCTGTAAAAAATAAGAAAAACACGTAACAAAAATTGAAAAAAAAACAGACGACATACATTGTTTACTGGCATCATGTAATGGATAAGCAGCTTGGTAAACATGATCGGATAGTAATTTATGGATACCGATTGAGAAAAAATCATTACTATCTTTGAAACGTGTTCGTTTCAGAATATAATCAATAATTTCACCACGTTGTGAGGGAGTGAAAAATTCATCTTTATCATGCTCAGGTATATTGAATAGATATTCTTTTTCTTTCGTGAAAACTGTTGTAAACACTCGATCCTGTTCGAATTCTTCACCGAATAAATATTTGAGACTTGTTTTTATGGTTTTCATTGGCATTCGGAGGGCCATCACTTCGGCATATCTAGCCAATACATTATATGGTGCATAAATGTGAACATAATTTACATTATTTCCCACCGAACTTGGAACATGTTTCAATGCTAATCCTTCACTCAGCAGATTTGCCTAGATATTTATCAAAATTAAAGGTATTGAGATCATTTAAGAAACAAATCATTGAAAGATATTCAAACCTCGAATTTTCGCCGTATCATTTCATGATTCAGTGGATTAGCATCATCATTAGTAGATTTTTGATAAACAAGAACAAAATCAACACGTTTCAAGTCGGTTGCACAATATGGTGAATAATTTTCACCGATGGTAGCTAATTCATTCGGTGTATTTGTAAAATTTGAAAGTGCAATCGCATCTTCATAGATGCTTGCACGTTCATCAAATTGACGAACAATTCTATCGAGATCAATTTCGTTTCCATTTGGTTGTTGTTGTGATCGTTGTTGATTATTGACATTGCCATTATCACCGGTTTTTGGTGTTCGGTCATTGAGAATTTTCAAATCAAAATTCATTATGATTTTTAGTGATCACAGATTCGGTTTTTTATTTCGTCTAAAAAATTTAATCATTGAATATGTAGATGTTGATTTAACAAAAAAAAGAATATGCAATTTTTATTTCGTCACCGTGAGCATCACATAAGTTGAAGTTATTTTTAGAAATTCAGAAAAAACGTTGATGGTGAAAGACTGAGATAGGATTTGATAATATATGATATTTATTATTAAACAATATAATTGGGATATTTTGTATCGAATTAGGATATCTCAACGACAATATATTCGAATGAGATCGAGGATATGCATTAATCATTGACAATACATCATATGTCCAATGAAATTCGCTCATACACACGTAACATATAAATGGGTTTCATATCCTTTGATCGTTCATTGGCAATCAATCAAACACATGTGTCTGTGTTTCTATGTTAGCTTCAACATACAAACATAATATGGACATCACACATACGTTATACAAAGGCACAATTTAACAAATGAACAAAAAGGAAAAACCAAGGCAAATGAAGAGCAGGATCGATAAAAGGCCTCTTGTTTCTATATCATTATCATTATCGTGAGAACAGGCTGTTTAAAGTTATCATAAATCCATGTAGTTTATTACTGAAAAGATGGCAATTCTCGATGATGATGATGATGATGATGAAGAAGATTATATAATGATAATAATAATAACTATCACATTTATCTTTTTATTCAAGTTTTCAAGATTTAATTAACTTTTCCAAAACAAAACATAAATGTCTAAAAGCCAATCAATATCACACATGATTGGGTACAATTTCACATACACACGCATGCAGAATTTCTGGAAAAATTTCCGATCGAAATCGAATTTGATTCTAAATGGACAAAAAACTTTTTCATTTGAAGAAAAATTAAAACTTTCAAAAATGGCGCAAATTTTTTTTTTTTCAAATTTATTGCATAAAATTTTTAATTAATTATACGATATGATTATTTTGTATTTACAATCTGGTCTATGATGACTTGGCGAAATTCTTTTCCAACATATCACGTAATTGTCGCTGTAATTCCAGGTGACGTAACAGCTCTAATTTATCCACAATTTGTCGCATTTTATCACATTCATCTCCATTCATGTAACCATCAATATTATGAATATTATAATCACCGGATAAACGATGATCAGTGATACGATTCTGTGGAAAATTATATGTTCGTATTTTATCACTACGTGCTGCAATTCCAATCTGTGAACGTTTTTGTTGCCGTGCTTCTCGTTCTAAGCGTTCATATTCGATTTGATTCAATAATGATTTCATCTTACGTATTGCAATTTCTTTGTTCAGATATTGAAATCTTGTTTCTTGTGATTCGATCGTATGTCCCGTTGGTATGTGAGTAACTCGAACACATGTTAGATTACGATTAACATTTTGACCGCCAGGTCCGGATGAATTTTTCACCTCAATTTTCAGGTCCGATTCTTTTACGGTGACTAAATTATAACGAACAGGTATGACGGATATCGATACGGTTGATGTATGCATTCGGCCATATTTTTCTGTTCGTGGAACTCGTTGTACACGATGTACACCGGCTTCATGTCTTAATAAAGGATAACACCCATTGCCAAGTATTTCGATCGTCTGTGTAAACAATGAGCTATTATCGTCAATTTCAAATTGCTCAAGATCTTTTTCATCCATTCGCAATTGCCAACCATTGAATGTGATGAATTTGACATATAAATTGTATAATTCTTTTGCAAATAAACTCGCCTCTTTTCCTCCAACACCGGCACGTATTTCTAATGAACATTCATTTATATTGCGATCATCATGACAAGCTTGATCCAGAATCTGATCTTGAAGTTGGATGAGTCGTTCAATCAACGACAAAGATTCGCTTTTAGCTAAAGCAATAAATTCATCGTCAGTGGGATTTTGTTCGGCCATAATTTCATCAACTTCAAGAAATTCATCAAATGTTTGTTTATAATGAAATTTGAGCTCTTCCGAGACATGTTTAATGAGATTATTTTCCACAAGAAATTGGTTGAAATATCGATAAAATGAAGGTTCTTTGTAGATTAATTTGTTGATCAATTTTTGATTGCCATTCAATTTTTCCACTGATTGTGTTTGTATTGTTCTGTGGCCATTAATTTTCCACAATTGAAATAGGTTCGGTCTAGTTATTCTGAAGAAAACATTTCGAGAAAATATGAAAACCTTGATGGACATTTTTTTGCAAAGTAAATCAACATCTGATCTGGTTACAGAAAAAATAAAAGGTTGCAAAATACATGAGAAAGTTCCCAGAAAAAAAATATTTAAAGAACAAAAACTTTTCGGAAAAAGATCTTAAAATCTAAAATTGAATTTTTGTCCATAACAATTGTTGATTTTTTCCAAATAAAAATCAAAAATTTTAGGTAAAATTATGGTTGTGTTTTTTTTCTAGAATCTAGACGATTATGGAGCCTTGTAAAGATAATATGATTCCCAAACAAGTTGAAGAAGGAGATGGAAAAATGCCGACAAAACAAGAAACAGATGGTGTCGATGAAAATACTGTCCGGCGTGATGAATCCTGTGTGAAGGCAATGATAAAACGTTATCGTACTAATAGCGCAACAACATTAACCAGTGATAGTCGTACAATAATCGAATACGTATCTGATAAGCTAAAATTTCGTGGTAAAGGTTGTGAAGCTTCCTTTTCGGATAAAACCAAAAAACAAGCTGAATTAATCAAAAGATTACTTGAACAGCAAAAAATTCAACCCATTAAACAGAAACAATCAAGTCCGAGAAAAATGCAAACACCATCACAAATGATGAACGAAAAAGATAATAGCAATTCGGAAGACTTGTCCGAAGATTTCGACATCTCAATGCAGTATATTGAACGAAAAATTCGCGAACATCAGGATCAAATATAATTTATTATAATTGAATTAAAATTTCTCAAATTGCGCATGAAATGAGTTTGAAATTTTATTGTTTGTTGAATTCAATAGAGTGTACACAGTGTGTGAAGGAGTGAAATAACATGAGTAAAAATTTTTTACAAAAATCTAGCAAACAAAAATTGATACGATGGTCAATGTATTTACTTGGATCGATCACAATCATCTCATCGATTACTTGTTTAATGGTCGATATTAGTGATAATGATGATGCTGTTCGCAATGATCCATTGGCTACCAGTAAAACTTTCGCGAATATTATATTGGCAATCTATATGTTTTCCACTGTCATACCATTAATAATTCATTTCTCTCAACCCCGATTAATGTACATCGTCATTTTCACCAATCTTTCTATATTATTTCTGATAATTCGTTGGGCATTTTCACGTTGGTTCCATCTTGAATTTTCAATAGCGACAATATTGAACATCCCGGTATCCATTGCATATATTGTTCATGTTTATAGTGAAACGCCGAAAACAACAAAATCAACCATTTCAAACATATTACAGATAATGATGAGTGATGAAATTGAAATCAATACAACGATTAATACGAAAAAACTTTCATCTAGTTCGTCGAGTAAACGAAAATCAAGTCTACAGGTAATGTCCAAACAAAGACATCAAAAATCCGGTAGCGGTAGTGGGAAAATGGGTGTAGTCATTCAAAGTCCAATAAATGAACAAGACAACAACTTTTGACATGAAAATGAATAAATTTTTCTCTTTTTATTATGGAAAAAATCCATCCAAAATATTGTCTTTACTTGTCTTGTTTGTTTGATAGGCAAATGGAAAAATCCGAATAATTTTTAACGAAAGATGATAAGATTCAAAAAAAAAATGATATGATACAAGTTCATTCGTGGATGTGTGTGTTTGTGAAATATGATTATGATACATTGCCAAACAGTATATATGCAGTCTGTTTCAATATTCACATCATACACAAACACAGACATATTTATATATAAATCGATCCATCCAAGCCGTCGTCAAATCATTATTGAGTGCTACGATGGTTTGATTGAAATATTTCAAATATTTGTTTTTTCCATTTGTCATAATAGTTTATCATATTCCTCCAAATGTCATCATCAACATTGAACAATTTACAATTTTCAGTGTCATTTTGTCTAAATTATTGCTGTTCACATCATCGCCATGTTAGTTTACTATCCAATACGTTACGAAAAACAAACGGCAACATTAGTTGGCCTACATAACAATGAAACGGGTCATTATGAATTTGGAATATTTTTCTGCGAATCAAGACCAATCAATATTTATATATCGAAATTAGATTCCGTAGAAATTAAATGCCGAAATTTGAATCAGATTAAAATTATTTATCCAGAAGAGATGGCTAGGAAATCGATTCGTATTGAATTCTTAAAACCAACCGATCGTAAAGATTTTATCGAAAGTTTAATGGATGCTCGAATGATTGAGATGAATCAGCCAACATCGATAACATGTTGCCTATTGCCTTGTATTGCCTATTATCAACGTCATTATAAATTTGTTCGTAGACGAAATCATCGGATACAGGCACATCGAATATTTACGAAAATGATTTGAATTTATCATATCTATAATTATGGAAGACATTCATGAATTAGTATTGAAAATTATTTATTTATTTTTTTTCGATTAAAATAAAATGAATGATATGAATCAATTAATAAATCATAAATTGCCATTTGCATTCAGAAATTATTATTAGTTTGTTTTTCGAATGTTTTTCTTTGTCATGTTAAAATTTTAGCTAGGTTATATCTTTGAACAATTTGATAATGATTCAATAAATAGTTCAATTTTCTCGCCCTTAATATCATTAGTTGATTCAATGAGGAAATTAATTTCCAACGATTTTTTTGTGTTCAAATCAATAAATTCGGCTTTCAATGTATTTTCAATGTAATCGCGAAATTCCTTGCAGATACGATCAAGTTCAACAGTATTCGCAGTTGTCGGACAATTTCGATAATAAACACGAATCGGATCAGATGGTACTAATTTTGCTTCTTTACGCAGTTTTTGTACACGATTAATTATTTCCCGTGCAGTTCCTTCATCTATCATGGTCGAATCGGCACAAACATTCAATAGTACAAGTATACCATTCTGGCAATCGGCTTCAAATTTATCGACCAAATTTTTATCCAAACCAGACTCGGCTAAAGTATAAGTCAGCTTCATATCTCCAGGTTCTAAACGATATCCTTCAACTTCAAAATTATTTGGATTGGTCTCGAATTGAATCAATTTTTGCTGACTCATATTACGTATAGCCTGAATGACTTTTTTCGATTCATTTCTTAATCGTAGACCCAGTGCTTTCGCATCCGGTTCACCACGTAGATGAACACCATATTCTTCTTTGTTCATACTAAGTTTAAGATCACGAACATTAAGTTCATCCAATATAAATGAACGAAGTGAATCAATATCTTCGATTGTTTGCTGTGAATTAGTAATGATCACCACTTCAGGAAGTGGATATTTCAATGGCATATTTCGACGATCACGTAGTACTCGTCCCAAATCAATCACAGTTTGCATATAAGATACTTGTCGTTCAACAGTAATATCAATCAATTCTTCTTGGACCGACGAATGAAGCATAAAGTGGATAGATTCAATTCGAGTGGTCTGCATTTGATCCGGAGATGAAGCATCATCGATAATAACTTTACGTAAATTTTGATACATATATTCAGTGATGAACGGTGTAAACGATGCCATCATTTCGATCATTGTCAATAGAACTGAAAACAATGTATCCAACGCACGACGTGTATCTTGTTCCCCAAATTCACCTTTCAATCGTTTACGATTCATTCGAACATACCAATTGGTCAGATCATCGACAAAACGTACTAATCGTGGAACGACAGTATATAGTCGGTAAGCTATTTGAAAATTAAAATTTTAAAAACATGCCAAACGAATATGGTAATCACAAACCTTTCATTTCAATTTTAACAAATTTAAATAGACTTTGTGTGAATGATAAAATCCATCGATCCATAATATTATCAGAACGAACAATGGATCGTGCATCAAAATAGAATCGTATACCAGGATTATTTTGTTCATAAATTTCAATATTTTGTACTAGAAATCGGTAGGCATTGAACCATGGTATGAAGGCATCTTTGAGAAGATCACGAACACCTTCTTCCCGGAAACGAAGACTTTCAGCGCGAACAGCAGGTGAATTGATCAAATATAATCGAAGAGCATCGGCACCATATTTCTTAACAATTTCCATTGGATCCGGATAGTTTTTCTTTCGTTTACTCATTTTTTGGCCATCCGAAGCCAAAATCATTCCGTTTGCGATAAGATTTTTAAATGGTGGTTTACCAAAAAGCAGTGTAGAAATGACTAATAATGTATAGAACCAACCTCTTGTTTGGTCGACACCTTCAGCAATGAAACTGGCAGGAAAATTTTCTTCAAAAATTTTCTTATTTTCAAATGGATAATGTGTTTGTGCATATGGCATCGAACCGGATTCAAACCAACAATCAAAAACTTCTGAAACTCGTTTCAATGGTGGATGACCAGGTCGTTTCGATGGAATTGTGATTGGATCGACATTCTCACGATGTAAATCATTGACTCGAATTCCGCTCAATCGTTCCAATTCATCGATGGAGCCCACGCATACAATTTCTTCCATATCGTCGCTTATCCATAGTGGAATTGGTGTACCCCAATATCGATTTCTTGAAATGGCCCAATCACGTGCATCACGTAGCCAATTTCCGAAACGTTTTTCTTTGATAAAATCGGGAACCCAATATGTTTGTTTATTCATTTCAACTAATGTCGAGCAAAATTCTTCAACACGAACAAACCAAGATGGCACCGCACGATAAATCAATGGTGAATCCGAACGCCAACAAAATGGATATGAATGTTTTACAGTACTATCACGAATCAGACGATTTCTTGATCGAAGATTCTTAATAATGTCTTTATCAGCATCTTTGACGAACATGCCAAGAAAATCAGCAACTGGTTCGACAAAACGACAGCTTGAATCCAGTGGACATACTATACGGCCACTTTTAGTGATGATACCGATTTTCATTGCAACACGATGATCATCTTCACCGAAGAATGGTGCACAATGTACGATACCGGTACCACTTTCAGCTGTGACATATGTATCGGTAGCCACAATGAATGCATTGATCGATTGACCATATTCTTTGAAATAATCAAATATCGGTTCATAATGTAATCCTTCTAATTGTTTACCAGGAAATTTATCCAAAATTTCGCATTCATCTTTGGGTTTTTTGTAGAGAATATCTAATCGTGATTCGAGCAATATGAAAATTCGATCAGTTTTGAAATCTTTGATTTTCACATATTCCAAATTAGGATTAACACATAACAGCATGTTACTTGGTAATGTCCATGGGGTTGTTGTCCATGCTAGCAATGACACTTGAGGATCATTGACCAATGGGAATGAAACCACAATAGCTGGATCAATAACATCTTTATAATTTTGACCGGATTCGAAATTCGATAACGGTGTTAAACAGGCACTAGAATATGGCATCACTTTAACGCCATTGTAGACTAAACCTTTGTTGAATAGTTGTTTGAAAACCCACCAAACTGATTCCATAAATTCGGGGTACATTGTTTTATAATCATTTTTGAAATCAATCCATCGACCAAGTCGAGTGATAATCTTTTCCCATGCATCCGCATAACGCATAATAATCTTACGACATTCATCATTATAAGCTTTGATGCCGATCTTCATCACATCTTCCGGGCTCTTAATATTCAATGTTTTATCAATTTCATATTCAATGGGTAGACCGTGTGTATCCCAGCCAAATCGTCGTTCCACATGATAGCCGGACATGTGTGCCCATCTTAAAACAATATCTTTGATGGTACCGGCTAAAATATGACCATAATGTGGCAGACCAGTGGCGAATGGTGGACCATCATAGAAAACATACGCCGGTCGATTTGCATCGGCCGATTGTTTGATCGAAGTACGAAATGCATCTACTTCGTTCCAAAATTTAAACACTTTTTCTTCGGCTTCAAAAAAATTGATTGAGTCTGGTAAAGGATCAAGCATTTCCGCCGCTTATGTTGAAACGTACACCACGTGAAAAGAATTCAAAATTTTTAAAGCAAACCGAGAAAAAACACGTTGATGCAATTGTATGGGAAATGATTGCAACTCATCAATACACAAACACACAATACATTTATTTTTTTAATTCTATTGTGTGTTGCCACAGAAGACAAGAATCATAGCCATTGTTTATACGATGAAAGTTAATCAAATGTTAATATTATTTTGTCAATTTATTTATAGAAATTTAAATTCAAAAAAAAAAACAAAGAACAGTTTTATCATAAAACAATATTACAAATTATAAATTATAAATTCGAATCGCTATTATACAATGACCAAATTGAAATGGATCCATCTTGAGAAGAGGCGAATAAAAGATATTTTTTCAAATTATCACCATCGTTATTAGAGTGAAGATTTAAAGTGAATCGAAGTGTTTCGATAGATTCATGATGATATGATATTACAGCTAATGGTCGTCCAATTTTAGTCGAAAATATTCGAATTCTTCCATCACCAGATCCGATAGCAAAAATTTTACCATCCGGTCGAATAGAACAACAGGTTATACTTTCACTATTGATTGTGAATCGTTTGATTTTTGAATTGTCAATCAACCTTTCATTACCAATCGAACATTTCCATAAAACAACTTCATTAGGTGCATAACAAGCTATACCTTGTTTTACGCAATCATTGTAATCCATATGAAGGATGCCTTCATTTTGTATTTGAATCGATGATATTGTTTCCGAGTCCATGATTGTTTTATTAGAATCAAAATAACTCTTGTTAATTGTTAGAAATCCATCTTCATATGCGATAAAATTGTAGAGAAATTTTTCCGAATCAATAAACGAATGAATGGCCATTATGATTCCGTGATCAATTTTTTCCTTTGCAATGATTTTAATGATCACGTTGGGTTGATATAAATGCATCAAATTAATTTGATTAGAATTATCAGGATCTAGATATGGAATGAATAGATCGTCTATTAGGGAGGTCATTTTGGCAAATGTTAGCTCAAATGTACGCCAATGATTTATAAGATAAAATTTTTTGGAATCATTCAAATCAAAATGAAAAAGTAAGACATTTCCACGTGCCAATCGTATCACTAATGTTTGTCGAGCATTTATATAGATTAATGATCTTACTGGTGATAATTCGATATTTTTATCCTTTATATGATCATCTAATTGTATCTGTTGTTGACATCGATATGTGGAAAGTAACCATGTTGAAATAAGACCATTGTGATAGCCACAGATTACAAAAATCTCACCATTGTTGGACTTGTGAATATCAATAGCTGTCACATAGGATTCTTGATTAAAATCGCCAAAAATATGAAGTGGTTCAGGTATTTTTGTCATCTTGTAAAATTTTATTTAGAAAATCGTTAATTTTTTTTCAAATTTGTTTATTGAATATATCTGGTATATACATTGTTTATGAACAGCGGCGTTTTTTAGCGTTGAAAACAGCAAATCATCGTCGACAATTGTTCAATTCAATTTGTATTTTATTTGTTTGATCATCACTAAATTCTTGATTATTTTTTCATAAAAATAATTTTGAAACAACAAAAAAAATGAATAAAAAACCAGCACCAGCTTTAAATGATACGGTTGCTTTGTCCAAAATGTTGCAAAGTGAATGGGAACGTTCGAATCACAATATGGAAAAGATTGAAAGCTATTTATCCAAATTGAAATTGTATCTAACTAAACTTCAATTCTTGCCAATCGAATTGGGTGAGCAGATTTCCAAACAAGAATTGGTTGTTGCTCGAGATATACTCGAAATTGGTGCATTTTTTTCCATTGAAACAAAAAATATACCCGCGTTTGAACGTTATATGGCTCAGCTTAAATGCTATTATTTTGATTACAGGTAAGTGGATGATTCGAATCTATAAATTCATTAATTTTTTTTTGTTTTAGCACGGATTTGACTGAATCAACATTTAAATATCAATTACTTGGCCTAAATTTGCTTTGTCTTCTTTCTCAGAATCGTGTATCTGAATTTCATACTGTAAGTACGGCAATTATCGATTCAATTCAAGCTGACCATTTTTTTTCTTTATTGAAAAGGAATTGGAACTATTACCAATGAAAGAGATTCAAAACAATGTCTATATTCGTCATCCGGTTTCATTGGAACAATACCTAATGGAAGGAAGTTATAATAAGATTTTTCTATCCAAAGGAAATGTACCATCCAAGTATTATACATTTTTCATTGACATACTATTGGACACTATTCGTGAAGATATTGCCGGTTGTATTGAAATGGCATATGATCGAATAAGCGAATCAGAAGCATTGCGTTTGTTGTTTTTTGATGCTAAAGACAAAGCAGGATTAGTACAATATGCTCAACGTCGTCGATGGACATTGAATCAGAAACGTGAATATACATTTGGTCATGGTAAAAATCGTAACGATGGTGCTGTTGCCAAGATTCCGGCCCAGAAAATTGCCGTACAAATGTTGGAATATGCACGTGAATTAGAAATGATTGTATAACTTTTATATCATAAATGCTTAATTTGAATTTTTAAAAATGGATGAAATACAAATTCTTTATTGATTGATAAATTGTAATTAAAAAAAATACAAACACTCCAAAATTACTTATAAAGGTTTATAATCAAGTTTAGTTTCCAATTTTTTATTATCGGCAATCTTGCGAACGGCTTTCATAAAATCTTCTTCAATACAATAGTCACGTTCCTTTCGGATGGCAAACAAACCAGCTTCTGTACAAACATTACGAAGATCGGCACCATTAAAACCATCACTAAGCTTGATAACGGCTTCCCAATCAATATCACCTTGCTTTGCAATTTTTCTTGAATGAATTTTCAATATTTCTAATCGGCCTTGTTCATTTGGTAGAGAAATTTCAATTTTTCGATCAAGTCGACCTGGTCGTAATAAGGCCGGATCCAGTGTATCTGGACGATTAGTGGCCATTATGATTTTTACTTTTCCTAAGGCGTCAAAACCATCCATTTGATTCAATAATTCCATTAAGGTTCGTTGAATTTCACGGTCAGCCGATGTACCTTCACTGAAACGACGGCCACCAATAGCATCGATCTCATCCATAAAGATCACACATGGTTGGTGATCACGAGCATAATTGAACATTTCACGAATTAAACGGGCAGATTCACCGATATATTTGTCAACAATAGCGGATGATACAACTTTTAGGAAATTTGCTTCCAATTGTGATGCAACAGCTCGAGCCAATAATGTTTTACCGGTTCCGGGTGGTCCATATAAAAGACAACCTTTTGGTGGGGTAATACCGATTCGTTGAAATAATTCTGGATTCATCAACGGAAGTTCAATAACTTCACGCAATTCACGAATCTGTTCGGCAAGGCCACCGATTGAACTATAGGTGACATCACCAGGATCTTCATGTGACATATTGTAAACCAATGGATCAACTTCACGAGGTAACCAACGAAGAATGGTTAATGTTGTTATATCCAATGCAACACGAGTACCCGGTTTTAATCGTGCTTTATCCAATTGTCGTCGACAACCTACAACATATCGAGGACCATTCGTTGCTTTGACGATAACTAATTGATGATTAAAGTGAATGGTTAATATTTGAAAATCCAACAAAAAACATTTACGATTACAAACTTACAATTATCTTCGGTCAATTGTTTCAGTACTTCACCAACTATTTGTCCGACCGATTGTAAAGCTTTCAGATCATTTTCGCTTTTCTCATATTGTTTATTCGATTCCTTAAGCTGATCACGAACTGATGAAAAAAATGATTCAGTCAAATTCATATCAAAATCTAAATTCAACCTACCATCTTTTAATCGCACTTCAATCTGCCGATGTTCATTAATTTTCTTACGGTAATCTTGTATGGCACGTTCTCTTGACACTTCTGCTGTCATTTTTCAAATTAAAAAAAATGGTAAAACAGACCAAATTTGAATGAAAGAAATGAAAATTGTTTGACACTTTTCCGAGTCGAATAAATGAAACCAATTGCAATGGCTGTTTTAACACAAATGATTTAGCAAAAAAAAACATTTGATGTAAAAGCAACCATGTGAGTCAAAATAGATTACAATTCAAGTTTACGTTGATAGATGGCAATCGTATCGAATTTAAGTTTCCATTCGATTAAATCAAATGATCAAATGATGATGATTTTAAATTATCTTCTTGTCCATTCGAATTATGGGCAATGATTTCTCTGTACAAAAGTTGATTAATATTAAAATCAAATTCGATTCAAATCTGCCAAAATCCATTCATTCAATTGTCATATGATTAGATCAATCAAAAAAACCTACATCGAAAAAATATTTATTTTCCAATTCTCTCCTCATTCATCATCATCATCATCATCGTCATTCGAATAAATCTTCACCAAATCATTCTGAATGGTTCGTTGAATTTGATTATTTTATTTCTTTTTGCTAACTGATTTACGATGAAATTCGTTATTATTTGTTTGTTTAGATGCAGATTTGATTGTGATTTTTATTTATAAAAAGAAAATTGTTCTTTTTTTATAAATTTAAATATTCGTGGATACACTTTGTATCTACATCCACCCACGCATCTATCAAAACCGATAAATTGCTGATGACACGCATACATTGATTGATTTGTTGACCGATTCGATCGAATTATCAGAATTTGATTTGGCAGTGGAAATGATTTCCGCTTACTACAATCTACGTTTTTTCATTATGACGATTTCTGCGTGATTATTTTTTCAACAATCACATCGAACTAAATATAGATAAAATTTATAAATGTTCAAATGGTGTGTGGGTGAATAAAATTCAGATAAACGTCAACAGAAGATGACAACAACGAAAAAAAAATTTGGCCAAATCGTTAAATCTCATCAGTAATAATCACCTTATTGTTTTTCTAATTAGAACAAATTCAAACTCAAAAACCATGACAATAAATCTAGATTAGGTAAGATAAGATAACTGATGACTTTATCGATTAGATCAGTCTGTTCTGTTAAATCCAATCAGACTGACAGATTAGTGAGTTATATTCAACAACATGTATGATTATCTATCCATTTTCGGCAACGAAAAACAAATGAAATTCTTCATTGTTTTTTTTTCAAAATATTCTCTGAATCAATCATTAGAAAAACCACGTGACAATGCGATTCTAACAAAAGAAATTATGAATTATTAATCGATGACGATGTGTGGTGTAAGATTCGTCAACATTGTAGATGTACATAGTGTCTTTGCTATAGGTGATGATGACGCCATAACAATAGATATAAATCGGGAATGAAAGGATTCTATTTTTTAACAACAATTAATCGTCGTCATCATTTTACAAAGAAAAAAAATGTACAAATTAGGTCATTTGCACACTAACATGATAATGGGAGTCTTTGATTTAACAATTTTCTTTTTCCGGTTCTTTTTTTCGAAGATTAAGATTACATCTAGATTTAGCAGATTCATTTTTTTTTTTTTTGTTTTTATAATTCATCATCGTGATTGTTGTATACAAATTGAAAGATTGAAAATAGAAAAACACACATTCGAATAATGATTATTTGTATGTGTGTTTTTCTCGAATCAATGTATTATACGCCATTCAGGATTTATATTTAGAGATTTTACCATTAACATCATCATCATCATCATCATCATCATTTCGAAATCAAAAAATTGAACCGAACCGAATCTAACATGTTGATGACGAAGACGTGGCAGCAGTATTGCCATGTATTAGATTATTACACTTATAAATAGAAACAGAAAAAAATAAAGAATCTAACCATATTTAGTCAAAATAACGATATTCATCCATTATGAAGTATATGATAATAATAATAACCTAGAAAAAGGAATCGATGCGCAATGATTTTGATTTAATTTTCGCTATAGCTGTTCACTGTTGTTTGTAATGGTGGTGAACGAGGAGAATCATTTACAACAATTATCGAAATTTTGAAAAATTCAAATCAATCAATCAATGAAGTAAAACCCTTGACATTTGACATATACTCGGGATGAAGAATAACAATAGAAAGCCCATTAACATTAACAAACATACACACACATACACACACAATTCACCATAACAACTCTGCCAATAATTAAAATCAACAAAATTTCAATGTCGGATTTGAGCCAAAAAATGATGGCGGCGTCAACGAGACTGGCGCCAACAAATGTCATGATGTCTTAATGCCGTTTAGTGTGCGTTTGATTTTTCAGATTATATGATGTGATGATGATGATGATGATGATGCATCTAAAACGTTAAAATTGGAAAATTAAAAAAGAAACTTAAACTCGTGACACATTTATTGAATATTATTATTATTGTTCTGATGATGATGATGATGATCATACGAGCAACAATAGTAATTGTTTTATTATAACGATGCAACCATATTGTAGGATGCGAGGAAAAAAATTGCCTGCGATTCTTTTGTGATCAATTGTTCACAGAATAAGGAAAAGGTAGAATGTGTCTAATGAATTTTTTTTTTTTTTGCACAAAATCTGTATAAACAAAGTTTTCGTCATGTTTATTTCTTGATCATTCAAATCTATCCCATAGTTCTTGTTCTTGTTCTCTGTCTGCGTGTGTATGTTTAATGTTGAAAGTAACATTGAAAAACGTGATTATTCTTGATGTGATGACGATGGTATTGGCATCGATTCACATTTAGCATTTCGAGTATTATTACGAATAAAGTTGGTAGCTGTTGCAAATACAACTACAACTTTATGTAGATCATTTTGTTTGTATATACAATGAGCAATGAATATTCTTCGTTTAATTCTTTCTTTGGTTATGAATGACGAATCAAATTGTCGTCGTTGTTGTTATTGTTGAAAAGGATGTATGTTTTTTAAGCAACAAGTTTACAACACACATCTTTATAATGTGGAAAATGTAAAATCCGGTTGGTCAGTGATGATTGTGAACTCTAAATAAAAACTGGAAGATAATTTTCAGATGTAAGTGTCCAATAACATTGATTATGTTATATTAGATAGATTAGTAGATAGATATAATATGCCAATGATCGTTTTATTGTTGTTGTTTATTGATCAATCAAATTATCATCAACATTAATTTCAACTCAACGGTCATCATCATCATTTGTTGTCATGTCAATTCCATTTTCATACGTCATTACTTTGTCAAGCAAAACTTTGTTAACAAAATCAACAACAACGACGACCAGAAAAAAAATTGACTTTAATCGATTAATTGCAATTAAATTGATCAACTGATGTCATCAACATAAAACTCACTGTAATGTTTATCTACCACCACCCATTCACTTTGTACTGCTTGTAGATGAGACTCTTGTAAATGATGATGATGATGATGATTTGTTTGATAAATCATAACCATCATTAATCGACAATGATATATTTTATATGCTGTTTGTCTTTTCGTTGATATTGATTATGATGTCTAATCCTCCTTCCATCTCTAACATGTTTTGTATGGAAACTCGGATCATGGTTTAACCTTTTAAACTAACAATCTGATAGGGAAAAAACCGATAAAAATTTTCAGGAATTCAATACATTTTTTGGACCCTCGTCGATCGATCGTTTCGACGGCATCCTTTTGACATTTTTTATTTATTGAAATTTTTTACCCATCATCAATCAATCATTTAAAAACAAATAGTTTGCTTTATATTCAATTTAAATTGTTCGAATGTTGATTAATTAATCATAATCATAATTCATTAAATGAAAATTGTTGATCAAAATAGATGATTTTTAAACAAAAAAAGGATAGCCCAACATGACGTTGATCCATCCATTCATTCGATGCTGATGCAATAATAATCATCATCGTCAAATCCATAAATTCAACATTCGTTTCTTTTATTTATTCATATTTTTTTCTGAGAAAACAAAAATTCATTTCTCTTTTGTGTTCAATTTAATCATCAAATCTCTCTTTTTGTTTCTCACATTCAAATTTCTCAAGTTGAACAAGTTGTTCGACAACAAAGTTAAATTTTTGTACATATTTTCTCCTCGTTCTGTGTGTGTGTGTGTGTGTGTGTTGTGTGAATTTCAATTTCAATTTTATATCCACAACATTTGAGTTGTTCAAATAACATTTTTTCATTTGGATTTCATAGATAGTGATGCGCTTTGACCATTTGATCAAATTTTTTTTTTTTTTTAAATGTCATGAAATCATCTAGAACAAAATTTTTCATTTAATCGATTAATCATCCATTAACCTTTTTTATCCAATTATTAATCCGTACAGAAAAATCTATCCTGGTTTTAATAATAAAAAAAATTGTGATCATTGTGAAAACTTCATCTCAATTCCTAATCGAATCATCAGTGTACAGTGTGTTACGAATTAATCAGCCAATAATTTGTAAATAATAATCATCATCGCTGACGAAAATTACGTTTCAATGAAAGAATCATCAATCAATCATTATTCTCTTATTAAATCGGTCCACATTGACAATTTTTTTTTAATGTGATGATCATCGACATCAACAAAACATCACCATGGTTATTGTGGTCGGCTTGGTAATCGTCCAATGGTGATGACGGTGATGTATCGTCTCATGATTATAACCGGTAACTATAACGGTAACTATGTGTGAATGAAAGAGAGAGAGAGATTTGATTGTTTCCAATAACTGCCATGTCCAATGATGATGCTAAATACTTTATGTTGGAAAGCCATAATCATAATTGACACGGCTTTTCCCCCGATGCCATAATTTGTTTTAAGTCGTAGTGGTTGTTGCTTGTAGTATCATCAATGATGTGATGATTAATTTAATTAATCAGATGATAATAATAATGTTTTCATTTTGTTTCATTCGCGTTTGACATATACAACAGGTTGAAACATATACACACACACATAGTGTGTCAGGAGTGGATATCATCATTAATCGAAATAAGTCTATCATTATCGTCATTGGATTTTTTTTTTAGTCATGAGAATCTCATCATCAAATTGCAACCATCAATAACAACAATAACCATAATAATAGCCAAGTAATCAACGATTAAGGACAATTTATACCCATAAACTTTGCCAACCACAAATATGGCTGAAAATATGGCTTCGCATGAATCACAAATGTATGTTGCACCTAATCCTGAAACACATTTCGAAGAATTGTTTCGTGTAGTCCAACCAGATGCTAACAATTCGAACATCAGAAATCAACAATGTACAAATGTACCGATGCGACAACGTAATTTTCCCGATTCATTTTTTCGTCAACCATCCTGTTCATCATCGACATCACATTCACGAGAATCATCATTGGATGCAACATTCAATTCCAATTTTGTAAATAAAAATAATTCAAATTCATCAAATTTGGCAAAACCGCCGGCAACACCGATCCAGGCAAATTCAACACAACGTAATGGCCGTCATGTATCACCATCACCACCGTTTGTTCATCAAAAAGCTCATTCATTACCGGCTTCATTGCCGAATCAAAAATTTGTCGTTGCATCAATAACGAATCTAGACAATAATAACAACAAAAGTCCGATGATTTCCGGCCAAAACGCTATAATATCTCAGCGACAGCCCTTACCGCCACCACCGTTGCAACAATTTCGACAAAAACAATTGACATTACCCAATCATAATGTAACAAATAATAATAATTTCCATTGTCGTCAACAAAGTTTTGATATTGATAAGATTTCATTGCCTGATGGTTGGACAATGTCGTTCGATTCGGATGGTCAACGGTATTTTATTGATCATAAACATAAAATCACCACATGGGATGATCCAAGAATAAAGATTACTCAGCAAAATTTCGCTAATCTTACTCATACATCAAATTCAATCATTGATCATCCTGTTGCTTATCAATCGCAGCAGCAACAACAAATTCAGCCCCCATTCATAGTGCCTAACAACAACAATAATAATAACTACGATCCGATCCATTTCACGACATTGCCGGATACAGGATTCTTATTCAATTCGAATATGACGACGATGCCCACAGAAATTGCTTCGGTTACTGAAAAAATGAAAGGACAAATTCTTACCGATGATACGAATCAAACGACGAATCAACAGCAGCAACAAATATTTGATCCACAATATCAATACCTCACTGAATTAAGAATGGAAAGAGAAAAAATGCGTAGCCGAGCGGAAATTCTTAAAAGTAATCCAATGGTTCGTAGTGATTATATACCATCATTACAGATGAAAACATCATCGAGTAATAAAGATTTGTCAAATATTGAACCATCAACAACAACCACAATGATGATTCATGGCCGTCAAGAAAGCCAAGATTCTGGCCTTGGTGGAAGCGCCACTGGTACATTGAACAGCATTAATTTTCAAAATGAAGCTAATTTATTCAATGGTATGGTGCATTTTATCAATCAGATTCATTTGATTAATTTACTCGTTTATTTCAAATCTAGATTTTAGCTCTAATGGACATGTTGCCGAAACGTCTGGGCAACTTGATTCAAATGTTGTACAGTGTCTCATGTCTGAATCGGTCGACTTACTTAGCATCACGGATTTAGATCTAGAAGGATTGGATATAGAGCAATATATCCAACATAATCCAATCAATAATGATCTTGGGCAATTATTTAATCATGATGAAACGATGACATGGAATGTTTGATTCGAATCATCATCAATCATACAACCATCATTCACTCATGGTCATCATTGATTTCATCCAGAACACAATCCAACAATCTCAAAGTATTTGTAGCATCAAGCATTTACCAATGGACATTTCATTTTTTGAATCTTAATCAAAACTATGATCGTCATGTCGATTCTATTTGGCATTTTCTATTATATTTATTTATTTCATGAACAGACAATCAGAACAGGATGGCCTTGTTTGCAAATTATTCTTGATGCATCTAGCATAGAAAACAAATGATGACTTGATGACGGCAGCAATTTCTTATCAGAATTTCATGCAGACTGATTCTATTTGCCAAATCTCATTTGCATCTAATTTTAGACAACTTTATTCATTCATCAATGAAAAACCCACCATAATGAAATAAGTGTTCATCATCATCATTTTATATATCACCATAAAAATGAAACAACAAAAAAAAAACAAAACAACAACCGGATCTATTGATTCCTATATATTCATTAATGTGCCTGTTGAATTTCAATCCTGATAATGATGGTGGCAATTCAATGAAATGACAACAAACCAAATGTCAAGTCCAAGCCAAAGTCATCAAATTTGCTCATATTTTATCCAACTCCATCTGAATCATCATCCTTTTCCAGAATTTTTTTCTTCCCTTTTTCATTGTTTTTCAATCAATCATACCTGTGATTAAAAATTTTTTTCCTATCGAAAGTCTTCGATGTCGTATGCCTGTGTGGGAGTGTGCATCTTCGCTCATCTAATATAAAATTGAAAAATCAAAAAAAAAAAAAAATAATAATCTATACATACCATTAGATTGATAAATTTCTTGCCCTTATTTATTGAAAAAAAATAATCATTTCTATCATTCGATTTTTGTTGTTAACAAAGTTTCAATTTATATTCCTTCAATCTTTTAACCTTGTCTTTTTTTTTGTTTCAGAGTTTATAAACTCGAAATATTTATGAATTTTCTTTCTAAATTTTAATTGTTAATTTTTTCCAACAGACAATCAATTAATTGATTTGTTCAGCAATTTTTTTTCAAAAAAAAAAATTTAATTAAAAAGAATTTAAGTTGCAAAACTGATATTTAAGAATAATTTCATTCAAATGGGGCAGTAAAATTTTTTGACTTTTCGAATTGGAAAACAACAAAAGAAAAATGGCTCGAAAAAATGTTCATGATGATTTACTTGAATTGTGCGAGATTTCCATTGATAATATATTGTGTAATCTTGAAAATCGGTATGTGAAAATCATGACATTATACATTTGAAATATTTATATATCGTTTCTTCATTTGAAAAGATATGAACAGGAAATCTATTATACACAGATCGGTAAATCAACATGTATATCAGTGAACCCAAACGGCACGAATGATATGACGAAAAGATTATATGAAACTGATTATATGGAAATGTATCGTACCAACACCACCACCACCAATCAATGGCATCGTCAGCGGCCACATATTTTTGCAGTTGCCAATTTGGCTTATCGCACCATTTTCGAACAAAATGCTGATTGTTCAATAATTGTAACCGGTAAATGTTAACAAAAATGAATGTTTTTTCTGTTTCATTTGTTTCGATAATAATTGTAATATATAGGTGAAAGCGGCAGTGGAAAGACAGAAGCAACAAAACATTTGTTACTTTTTCTTAGTCATGTTTTTCGGAAAAACAACGAACAACAACCACCAATGGAAATTGAAAATGTGGTCGACATTGTAATCAAATCGAATTTGATACTGGAATCATTCGGTAACGCAATGACTATTTGTAATGATAATTCGAGTCGTTTTGGTAAATACACGGAAATATCGTTTGTACGAGATGTTCAACCAAATGTTGATCAAAATTATGATTTTTCATTCGGAACTATTCGTGACTATCTTCTCGAAAAGGTATTTCATTACATATTTTATTGATCAATTCATTTGTTGTTTATCATAAAATAGTGTCGTGTTATCGATCAACAAGAAGGTGAACGGAATTTTCATTGCTTCTATCAATTGTTGAGCGTTTTAAATTCGAAGAAATATGGCCATTTATTTTTCGAATTGGATTGGATGGACAACTATGTTGATTCATATAATTATCTGAATGGCAGTTTAAAATCACAGATTTACACACTTGATGCATTGAATTTCGACCATGTTTTCGAATCAATGTTAGCCATCGGTTTTAATTGTGAACAAATTCGATCCATATACAAAGTATTGGCTGCAATTCTTGTTTTAGGAAATATTCATTTCATTCCATTAGAATATTCAGATGATGAATTCAGTGTTCATGAAAATGATATAGATGTTCACGAACGAGAATTTTTGGAAAAGTTTTGCCAACTTTTATCGTTGAATATCAACAACGCATTGCTTACATTGTGTAGCCGTTCAATTCGTACACCAAATGAACTGGTTCGTAAAAGCTATACCCATACACAAGCAAGTCAAGGTCGTGATGCATTGGCAAAAGCATTATATCAAAAGCTATTTGGATATATTTTGAAAAAGATTAACACAACATTGAAAATGGTAAAGGAACGTACCATTGCGGATGATGATCGACCACTGCAAATCGATACGATCGGCATATTGGATATTTATGGATTTGAAGTATTTGAAAAAAATAAAAATGGATTCGAACAATTTTTAATTAATTATTCGAATGAAAAATTGCACCAGTTGTTCATTGATTGTATAATGAAAAAAGAACAATTATTATACCAACAGGAAGATATTCACTGGCAAAAGATCGATTTCGAGGATAACCATATTATTTGTCAAACTTATCATGAAATTTTTGCCATAATGGACGAAATTTGTATAACCGGTTGTCAACTGCAAGATGACCATCGTCTTTTGAAATATCTAGACAAACATTTCAAAGATGGACATCACCACTTTAGAATCAAGCATGATGATGATTTTGGTTTCATTATCAATCATTCAGCCGGCAAAGTTCAATATTCAGTCGAAACATTTATTGAAAAAAATCTTGATCAACTTTATTATGACTATTATGAGTTGATGCAGACAACCACAGACCAATTCATCGAAGGTAAGAGAAAAGAAATTCTGTAATATCGATAAATTGTGAATGAATGCATTTCTTTTTGCTAGAAATACTTTATGATTCGAAATCACAAGCAGCCAGAAGTAACAAAAGACCATCGACTGTTGGCCATGAATTTCGTAAATCAATGGACACATTGATCCAACGGCTTAGCAGTCGTCAACAATTGTATGTTCGTTGTATTAAGCCGAATGAATCCAACGGCGAACAATGTTTCAATGTGGACAAAGTACGACATCAAATTCAATATTTAGGTTTAGGCTGAACATGCCAAAATTTGTCAGGCAAGTCTTTGGTGTCATTATCGATACGAAGATTTTGTTCAACGATTTAGAATGTTGTTGGACAATAACGATAAACAACAATCGATTATTTCGGAAACAATACACGAGGATCTTCGAGCACATTACCAGCCTGTATGCAAAAAGATTCTTGAGAAATTATCAGATGTTATTGTTGAAAACGATTTCAAGTGCTCTGTTAATGAGAAGAGCAAGTTTGCATTTGGCCGTACCATATTGTTTATTCAAGACCCGAAAATAGTCGAATCTTTGGAAACGGAACGTTATGAATATCTTCAACAATGTATTATATTAATTCAAATGGTATGCAATTTGAATGAATTGTTGCATTTATCGATATTGATTGAAATTCTATTTGAATAGCTTGCACGACGTTTTCTGGCCATGAAACGTTTTGAACGTATTAAACGTACACAATTAGCATTCGATTTGTTCTGTCAACGAAAAAAGCTGAGAATAATTGGCAAATTTCTTGATAAATTTGAACATCGATATTTCGATCAATACATGTTCATCTGTCTTCATCGCCCAGCCAGCTGTCTGGAATATAGTGAATTACTCGCGATTAGATATCGAAACAAAGTAGCATTTCAAAATGATGATACATCAAGATTACTTACAGACAATGTTCACAATAAATTATTACCCGAAATGATTGATTATTTCAACCATTGGTTGATTATAATGAAATTTCCGCACAGTTATTGGAAGGAAAAAGTATTACGAATTGAAGCAGAAAAATTATTCACTGGTAACAAATGTGAATGGGGATTTTCAAGAGAAAAATGGCTGGGTAATTATCTGGTGGACAAAAAGGAACATCATGTTGGATATGATGAATATTTCAAACTCAACGGTCTTGGCAAAATTATATTCGCAGCAAAAATTATCGTAGGAAAAGCAAAAGCATATGGATTGATTATGAATGAAACATCCATTTTTAAATTGAGTTTGAAACGCAAAACTTTTATGAATGGATTCAGTTGAATGAAATCGAAGCAGTTAGCCTTAGTACTGGACGTGATCAATTGATTGTTCTACACAGCCATGATGATGGTGATTTGATATTTGCACTTGATAGTTCTGCAAAACAAAAATCGAGTAAAACCAACTCGAAAAAGGATTCGACAACCACAGAAGAGAACAATAACAATAAAGTCGGTGAATTTGTCACATTACTTTGGCAACGAATCAAATCGTTAAAGATAAACTTCCAATCGGATTACATTGAATTTCAATCTAAAAACAAAAGAAAAATAATTAAACCGATTGAATGGAATAGTCCGGAACTCGATCAGATTGTTTTGGCAAATGATGGTCATCAACCAGGACCCATGTCAATTATGACATGTAACATCAAATCATTTTTCCGAATTTTGAAATCGATAAAAGATGAATTAAGCAGCAGTGATAAACGACGATCATCCACATCAAGTGATGATCGAAAGCATTGGCTTCGGGCTAATAGTTTCCAAAAAATTTCTACAACCAATTTCATTTTTGTTTACGAATAATGCTAATATGCACACATGTGACGTAGCAAAATGGCTGAAATAGAGCTACCACTGTCATCTATTGGTTGAATAGTCCAAATATTGTCATATACTCACTCTTGTATATTGTAATAAACTCGAAAATACATTTTACGCATGTGTGAGTTACATTATAATTGCTACATTGTAGCCAATAACCTTTGTGCTACAGTTGTGTATCGGTTTCTACCGAGAATTGTCCTTGAAATTAATCAAAATTCCTAGGAAATCATGGGACTTTTTCAAACAAAAGACGCAATTAGATTTTGATAACGGATAATAACAAATGAATAATAACAATTCAGTTTCATCATCGGCATTGAATATAAGGATCCAAATGATTAATCAACGTTGCAATTACATTGATAATTTTCATAGGCCAAAACAAATTGTGTTCATGATTACCCAAACAAGTGCATGTAATGTTATCCATTAAAAGAGGTGATACTGTGTTCATCAAAAAAAAAGTACAAGAAGAATAGAAGAGCAGCGAACTTGACTTTAAGGTGCAGTGATTTTTTTTTTGTTCACTTTTCGAATTTTACTCAATTTATTCAAATTCATTCAAACACATTAACATTGAATATAATTTCGAAAATTGAATAGATACAATATCCAAATAATAATCGTTTATATAATGACTAATATAACCGATTTTGCTGATTGTGATTTTTTATTACCGATTGATAATGATAGAATTTATTTAAAAGATTATCGATCATATTGGACATTGGTTTGTATCCCATCGGAAATGATCTGATTCATCATTGATATAATATCATAAATTACAAATTAAAACAGGAACCAGTTATGTCTTCAATGTGTTGGCCATCTAATGGTGAGCAACCACCTTTTTTTTCCATTTCTTCAATATCACCGAATTTTTTCGATCGACGACAATCACAAATTATTACAGATTATGATGGCTGTAATTCCGAAATGCTCAATGCGGATAAGTATCTTTTGGTAATACAATAACATTCAAATACAACCGATACAAATTGATCATTTCTTTTGCAACAGTATCAAAACCCTGAACCGATGATCTCAATGAATGATGGCGATGTTTTAAATATTGAAAATGTGAAGAAAGAATATTTATTTGATTCATGTGATGACGCTAATCATTCTAATTACAAATGGGAATTGGATGATTTTGAAGAAAAATTTTCGACACAGACTTTAAATTCAGTATTCTATTCCAATTTTGATGATGATGGAAATGTACACAATTTAATTACAGATGACCAACAATTATTTATTGCCACCATCCCGGACCATAATAATGGTTGTCAAATGGCGGTCCTTCATCAACAACAAAATGTGCAAAGTCCAGTTATGATCAAACGTGAGTCATCACCGATGTTTGAGGCTGAAGTTAATGATGAACCAATGATTACAAAGCGAGAATTGGAAACGATTTCGCCACAACCATTGCAAAATGATTATGATGATGATCATGAAATGGTGAAATTGAGTGAAATTGCTGATGAACATATAAAAATTAAACCAAGGAAAGCTCATGGTCGAAAATCAAAATCAATGACTGTTTTGTCCAATAACATTATTGATGATCAGCAAAACCCGGAATCGTTGAAGCCATTATTGGCCAAACAAAAAAGCCTGTTGTTTCCACTTAAACTTTGGAATCTGACCAATTCTTCATTATTTAAAGCTATTAATTGGTCGAAAAATGGCCGTGAAATTCGGATTAACATCAAGAAATTGACACCATTCCTGACACAAATCACTCGTTCCAATAAATTTGAATCATTTCTTCGACAATTGCATCTATATGGATTTCGAAAAATGGACAATTTTAATCTGAAAAAGCGTAAATTTGATCGCAACATTGTTCGCTATTTTCGAAGAGGATTTAATCGTTTTGTCCGTAATGCAGATGAAATTGACAAAATTTTCTTACGCAAATAACTTATTGACCAATTTTTTTCTTTGCTCAATCATCTTATAACCATATCATTGTATTTCTTTTTCATTAATGGATCTTATATATCACTGTTTTGTTTCTACATTCGATTCTATTTTGTCATTTTATACTTTGAAATAATGTTTATCCTATATACTTGATTCAATATCTATCGTTTATATCATAATCAAACATCATAATCATATAATAGTCGTTAATCGTTAATTTAATTTTCTTTGATTAAATAAATTCAATTGCAAAAAAAAATATTTCACTAACTCAATCCTAGATGGCGACAACGTTTACCTATCATCGTCTACAAAGTGTTTACAAAGTATTTGGCAATAATTATTGCCAAATGTTTTCCCTCCATTTTTCTTTTGTTTTCAATTTCTTTTCTGCTTTCTTTTTGATTCGACCCAAACAATTGAATGAAATCGATTAATCATTTTGTGGAGATGAAACGATAAATTTTAAAACTTGAATCATTGTCAATATCGTATCATTACTGTTTTATTGTTCATTTTATAACGAAAACCCCAAAATGGATAGGAAAATCGGTTTTTTTCGATGATAAAACATTGAATTATTCTGAAACGCAATGATAATGGAAATATTTCAAGAATGTGTCCATGTTAAATGATTTTGGTTTATTTATTCGATATTTTGGCTTATATTTTTTCATTCTGAAACAATGATCAATCAAACTAAATTAAATCTCGACGAATGTCGATTGGAGACCTGAATGTGTGAACAATGTATACAAACTATATCGTGCCCCTTTTGATTGTGTTTGTGTGTGTGTGTGTGTGTTAGATTTCATCTCGACAAAAAAATATCGTTCGCACGGAATTCACAATGGAAATGGAATTTATCGCTGGATTTTTCCTACATTCGATAGCCATGGTACTGTTTTGAAAACAATAACTTTATCATCATAATATAAAACATTCATTGCATGAAGTAGATAGGAATAATTATTTTTTTCGCACCTTCATTTTAGTTTTATTTTTATTCATAATTCAGGTGACGATGTGATTCGCATGTGTGGTGGCATAAACATTTAATGACAACGAAATTCCATTGGCGGTCGTGGGTAAGTCAAATTTTTTTGTTTTTATTAGAAAAACTTTTGCTTGGCAAACTATTGCTGAGAATTCATTATTATTACCTTTTAGATGACAGTTTGCACATCGTTTTTGTTCCTTCTGTATCTTAATTATCTTTAATTTATCACTACTACTGAGATAATGATTAAGTGAATTTGTTTTTTTTTAAAGAATTTGCTTCGTATTTAATTGGTTTATTCTATAATCACTTTTCTTCAGAAAAAAATTTCTAATACTCTCATTATATCTTGTATACTTGAATAGACAATCAATTTTCGTTGATTTTCACGAATTTCAACCGATGAAACCGATTTGATTTGATTTGAAAACCATAATTTTGTTGCTATTCATTTGAAAAAAATGATGATGATGATTCACTCGAAGCTGAAACTATCTTATCTTGACTTTATATATGGATTCCATTTATATATATGATGATTCGTTGTTGATGATGATGATGATGATAGTGATGGAAAATCAGCAATTCAAGTATGAATATTTCGGCAGTTAATTTTAATTAATTTAATGATAAACTACATCAAGATGCTTGTGTGAGAGAGATATGTTTGAAAGAATATTATATACTTGTGTAAGGTGTGCCGTATTGCTTGTGCCTCGTAGTGTTTTTCATGATGATAATGTTGTTGTCATTTGAAAAGGACAAAATCTTTTTCATTCTTTCATCAATTTCGGCATCATCTTATACAACGAATTTGTCACCATTACTATCATCACCACCTTAAGGCTGTTGGCTAGGTGCTTTCTAATGAATTCAGAGTGACAGAGAAAGAAATTTCTCTTAAAAACACACTTGGTTTGATTCTGCAAGTTTTCTTATCAATAAACGAAAACTCAACTTGACGTGTATTATCTTTTCTTGCAAATTTTGTTTTCCACATTTTAAACTTTAGTTTGTAGCCACTCTCTTGGCATGTGATTAATGGTCAACGAATGTTTGCGAAATTCCAATCTTTACATTTAGAGATGTTTCGAAATTCAAATTTGAAGCCAATAATGATGAACGATGGTTTTCAAGCTAGAATGAATGTTTGTATGTGAAAACAATCGATTGATTATTTATTTATTTTTTTTTTTTTTGCAAATATTCCAAACATTTTATTGTGAACGTTATTTTTCGATTTGTTTGTTTATGATTCGGAAAAGTTTTCAGCTAATAATCAAACTTGCCAAAATTATTTTCCCATTCAAGTCGATCGCAAAAGTTTTATATATTCAAAGTTGTTGTGGATGATGATGATGATGATGATGATGGCGATCCAAATGATTCCAACAAAAAAAAGTTTCATGTCCCAAACAATGTGTGCTAATGGTTAATATTCATAAGGTGCTAGAAAAAACATTACGATACATAAAGAATAAGGTTTCTGGATGATTGAATCGGCTTTTTATGTGCTATTACTTGCATGTAATAATCGAATTCGATTATATTCCGGTCGATTTGATTACCACTTGGTAATGATAATGGATGCTTTCGATCATCATTATGACGATGATGATGATGATGGTGGTGGCGACAAATGTTTCAAACAAACATTGAATCTGAATCAAGACTCATTGAGATTGTTTGTTTGTTTTTCTGTCAAGATGGATTGAGTATTTTTTTTTTTAATTTTACAAGAATTTTTTCTCAACATTTTAAAACGATGTAACTTTTGATCTTTCTTTGAAAGTTTTTTTTATGTGTGAATGGTTTTTATGTTTTGGATTCTCTGGTCAGAAAAGAAAATCCGTTTCAGTAATCAGTCATACAACAACATATGGCCAACATTATGTGACATTTTTTTTTGTTGCTATTAAATGTGAAAAACAATATATACACACACACACACGACCATAAATTGAAACAAAGCCAAATGTCATTTGTTCATTTCGTTTTGTTTCGTTTCGCTTGGTTCATGTTAAACCCGAAAAAACATGAAACATGATGATGATGATGTTTGTTTCATTCTCGAATCGATTTGTCTTTGTATTTTCCATTTTGTTTTTGGGCTGCCTGATTGTTGTAAACATTTGTTACCAGAATTTTTTTACTGATTTTTCTTTGGCTCCAATAATTGAAAAATTTTCCCATTGTTCTGACGATAGATGGCGCAAAAAAAAATTCAAATGATTTAAAAAAAACTGGATGTGCTTCCAATAGATTTCAATTTCAATCCGATTTATGTTTGTGTTTGTGTATATTATAATAATAATACACATAATTTGTAAATAGTTTAAATAATTCATTTTGAATGGTGAAAGAAAAAAAGACGAAATTGTCATTAAAATTTGTTGGTTAAAATGAAAGAAAAAAGTCAACCAAACTTCAAACTTTTTCCCATTTCTCGATACCATATATGGAAGCCATTGTATGTATCGTGACAAAGTATAATATCATCGTCATCATCACAGGACATAAGGCATTGAGTGGCCAAAATTGCAGAATGCACATAAGCATTATATTCTTTCTATATATGGCTCCAATGCTAATAAATTTTCATTATTTTCATAAATATTAATTCATGAATTTTTGCCTTAGTGTCATCATTCATGGCCCATCTACACCATTATGGCTTCGTATCTAGGTGAGAGAGTATGCACATTATAAGAATGATATAGATGGATAGAATAGAATAAATAATAATAATAATAATGACAATGATTATGATTATGATTATGATTATGATTATGAAGCTTACCGAAATACCTTGTTTGCCACCTTTCTTGAATCACACTCTGATTTCCCTTGGTAACTTTTCTTCATTACTACCGTATTCAAATGCAATAAACAATAGAATTGGTGCTATTCTCTCGACATTATTCATATATTTTATTTGGGTCATCTATCCTCTTAGGATGGATGGTTTGAATCGAAAAAAAGTAATGTCATCATTTCGCATCATCATAGGCGGTCATTGTCTTTGTGTGTTTTTGGTGGCCAAAAAAGGGTTTTATTTTGACTTGAATTGAAAAATCAATTGTTGTTTTAGATCGATTATCTTTGTGCTAATCAGTAGTTTTCCATAAAGTTTTCTCACTTTCTCGAAAATTGATTTTTTTTTCTACGATTCTTTATTTTCTTGTTATTATTATTATTATTATATTATCACAGTTGAAAACTAGCCAAGCAGCTGTGAAATGTCTATAATCGGAGAAAATTACAATGTTACAACGGATCAACACATTTCGCAAGAATATAATACTGACAAAGAGCACAGATACTTTACTCGAAGTAGTTTTAATTTGAAAAATTTTTCCTTTTCTCAATGAGAAGGATTTCTACACTGCCAATACACTTTTTGCTCTTAATGAAGATGAAATTTAATTAATGAATGTTTGTTGATAAACGTTTTGCAGAAAATAAAAACGGAAGAATTCTACCATTGCATTATTTTTGTACATGTAATTGTTGTTTGTCAATCGACAATCGATCGATTTGATCGATTCAATTCAAACAATTTATTCAAGCTGTAAGTTAGTCACTCATTTATTCATCCATCCATTCATCCATCCATCCATCCATCCATTCAGTTTGTTTATGCTCGGATCGAAATGATCGATCATTTGAATGGAAAGAAGAAAAGTGTCTTGTTCCTGGTTTGGCTTTGGTAAATCAAATCAAACTATTAGATTTTCAAACATTCATCCAACGAATGAAATTTTTGTTTTTCCAGATCGATCAATCGATTTGTATTGCCGGTTTTTATATGGAAAGCCAAATGGAAAATGATTTGCAAAACTTTTTCGAGATTTTGTCTTCATTTTTCTTGAAGAACCAAAAAAATATATCAATCGATAATTTCATTTTATTTATTTAAAATTTAATTTAAAGACCATTGATTTATTTTGATAAATTTAATCAGAAAAGCCAAACATTTTCCATTCGATCAAATTGAGATTTGTTTGTTAGATCAGAGATGCCTATAATTTGTGATTGACGATTATAGACATTGGTTGATTGTAATCATAGAATAAATGAAAATGTTCGACAATGCATTCATGTCAAGTATTTAGAGTTTTCGATGGG